TTTAACTTACCATAATATTTTCAAGGTTCATCTATGTTGTAGCATGTACCAGTATGTCATTCCTTTTTTATGTTGAATTATATTCCATTTTATGCATATTCTATATTTTATATATCTATTCATCAATGGATGGACATGGATTTTTTTCCACTTTTTGGCTACTATGAATGATACTGTTATGAACAGTCACATACAAATTTTTGTGTGGACATACATTTTCATTGTGTTGAGTACACATCTAGGAGTGAAATAGTTGGATTATACGGTTAAGTCCAAACACTGTGAGGAACTACCACAGTGTTTTCCAAGGTGGTTATAACCATTTTACCTTCCCACTGGCAATGTATGAGGGTTCTAATTTGCCCACATTCACACCAACAACCTTATGCCCTGGTTTTTTAAATTATTATTATAGCTATTCTAGTGGATATGAAGTAGTATCTCATTGTGGCTTTGATTTGAATTTATCTGATGCCTAATGATGCTAAGCATTTTTTTCATGTGCTTATTCGTCATTTGTACAAGTTCTTTGGAGAAATGCCTATTCAGATTCTTTGTCCATTTTTTCATTGGGTTATCTGTCTTTTTACCATTGATTTATAAGAGTTCTTCATATATTCTGGACATAGGTCTCTATACAAAGTTTTTCTACTATTCAGTGGGTTGTCTTTTCATTCTCTTAACGGTAGGCTTTGAAGAGCAAGTTTTTCATTGTGAAGTCCAATATTTTCTATTTTTTCTTTTGCCATTTATGCTTTTGGCGTCACAGCTAATAAACTATTCCTTAATCAAAGGTCATCAAGATTTTTACACCCATGTTTTCTTCTAAGAGCTAATAGTTTCAGCTCTTACATTTGGTCTTCGGTCCACTTTGAGTTATTTTTTATTAGGACATGAGGTAAGGTAATACAGAACTCACTCTTCTGCATAGATAACCAATTATCCATGAGGACAGGGAAAGAAACACAAAAAACACGAGGTCAAACAATAACCAGGGTTCATACAGGGCCTTTTATTGGGGGAAAAAAAACACAAACAACTATTCTTTCCACCACTGAATGTTTTAACAGCCTTGTTGGAAATCAACTGACAACACGTGTGTAGTTTATTTCTGGACTCTCAATTCTATTTCACTGATCTGTATATCTGTCCTTATGCCAGTGCCACACTGTCTCAGCGACTTTTGCCTTGCTGCAAGTTTTCAAACAGGAATGTGAATCTTCTGATTCTGTTATTCTTTTTTCAAACTTGCTACAGCTATTCTTTGGCCCTTGAATTTTCATAAAATTTTAGGATCAGTTTGTCGGTTTCTGCAAAAAAACTAGCTGGGATTTTGGTACAATTACAGTGAACCTGTAGATCAGTTTGAGGAATACTGCCATCTTAGTAAGATTAAGTCTGCTGATCCACAAACCTAGGATGCCTTTCCACTTACTCGGGTCTTCTTTTAATTTCTTTCAACAGTGTTCTATAGTTTTCAGAATACAGGTTTTATATTTCTTTTGTTAAATGCATTAAATATTTTATTCTTTTTGATGGTATTGTAAATGAAATTATTTTCTTACATTTTTGGATTCTTCATTGCAAGGTTATTGACTCAGAGCTGATTCTGATTTTGGTATACTGATCTCACATCCTGCAACCTCATGAACTCATTTTATATGCTTTAATCATCTCTTCCTGGATTCTTTAGGATTTTCTATACATAATTCCATGTTATATGAAATTATGCAATAGCAGAGTTTTACTTCTTACTTTACAAATTTTACTACATTTTCTTACCAATTGCCCTGACTAGACTTTCTAGGACAATATGCAACAGAACTGGGAAAACACTACTTCTTCTTATTCCTGTTCTTAGAGGGGAAGCATTCATTCTTTCCCCCATTAAGTATGATGTTAGGGTCTGAGGTTTTCACTGATGGCCATTATCAGGATAAGGACATTCCTTTCTAACTCTAGTTTGTTGGATGTTTTTGTCATGAAACGGAGCTTTAACTGTCTGTTGAGATGCCCCTGTAGATTTAATCTCTTATTATACTGATACAGTGTATTACATTAAATGACTTATAATTTGTTAAACCAAACCTATGGTCCTAGAATAAATCCCATAATCATGATGTATAATCCTTTATATTGTTGGATTCCATTTGCTTGTATTTTTTGAGGATTTTTATGTCCATATTCATGTTAGTCTGTAGTTTCTTCTCTTGTGGTGTTTTTATGTGATTTTGGACTACTGAATTTGGGGCTAAATAATTGTTTTTTGTAAACAGATATACTGTGAATTTTAGGATATTCAGCTGCATCTCTGTTCTATGCCCATTAGAGGTCATTAAAATAATTATAAAATTTACTTTCACTAGTAAAAGTAAACACTCTATGTTATCTTTCTGTTACAATAAGTTTTCTAAGGAAAAGCTCTTACAGTTGTCCTTGGTGGATTTTGTCATTCTTTTCTAAATTTCCAAAACCTATGTGAAGTTCTGACCACACCAATCTTAATGAAAGTCCTCTGAAATGACAAAAGCACTCATTTCCAAAACCAACAAAAATGCCAATTCCTTTAAAACTTCATAAATTTGGGAATCAGGCTAATTCAGTCATGATGATTAATATCCCTCACATTCTATTTACTCTATTATACTATTTTGCTCTGGAACAAACCTACTTAAACTCTTAAGACAAATTTGGAACCTCAGAATCTGACCTAATAAAACCTCACTTAATCCATTCTTAAGAATACCTAAAATATGTATTTTCTCTAATAACCTAAAATTCTATCATAAAGGCATAAACACCTTTAAATATTTATTTAAAAAGCATATCAAGATTTTTATGAAATATACAGCAGTTTTTGTGAAAGCATTTGCCATACGAGGCAACTAAATTTTTCCCCATTAACACAGCTCTTAAAGTAAATCTAATCATACCTTATGCTGCTGAACTTTTAAAGTAATATAACTGAATTCTAAATACACAAGAAGAACATTCTTGTTTTCCAAAGTAATCACTTTGAGCGGCAACATTCTTTTTCCAAAATACAACTGTGGAGTTACTCTTCTGGAATATCTTCAAAGTCGAATCATATAACATCATCACTCACATTTTATGTTTAAGCAAAACAACAGTACCACTTTGATCACCACCTTTATTCATTAATCTTGGTTCCCAAGGACATTTTGGCAATTTCCAATCAAGTCCATGCTCACAGGATAAAGAATTCTTTCCTTCTTTCCTTTTCTTCCATTAATCCTATATTTACTGACTCCCTGCTTGGTGCTGAGTAAATGTTGGGTGATAGAAACTTATACCATATGAGCACCTTTTACTTTGGCTCTCCATCTTTCTCTTTGGCTCTGTGACAATGAGAAGAGGGGATCACCCAACCAGCAGATCAGACACATACTAAGTCATCAGCAGAATCAGTTCCCTGACCACTGCCCAACACCACCACCAAATACAAAATGAGAAGAGTTCAGCTTCACGTAATTTATCAAGTTAGGTAATTTGAAAATAAACTAGTTTAATTTCAGTACTTAAGTAGTGACTCTTTTACATGTTTCTAACTTCATATAATGGCGTGTACCGTGTGTCCTTCACTAATTTGATTTCTGGCTCAATATAACGTTAACATAATTTTTTAAATATTGATACATGTAACTCCAGTCCATTTATTTTCATTGCTTTATGACACTACACTGCATAAATATAACACAATAAATCCACTCTCCTGTTGATGGACATTTAGACTAATTTTAAACAGGACAAAACTGCTTCCAGAGAAATGATATTCTGTTCTATCCTAAATACTATGCACACCAAAAAGACATTACAGAAAGATTCCCAAGAGACCTGCCTTTCTTGCACCCTCCCCAACAACCTCAAACCAATATGACCTCTTTGTACCCCAATTCATATTCGACTATTTTAGTGAGATAGCTCCTATCTGTAGAACAGGAAGAAGCTTACTTATCAAGGATCAAAATGATAAAGGTTAATTCTTTACAGAGCCAAAGCCAAGGGGCTGGTGAAGGTGAAATACAGAAAGGCAAGAAAATTCTCCCACTACCTTTTATCATTCCACTGGTTTTTAAACGAACATTTTCCTAGAATAGCAACTGCAAGTTTTAAATCTCCACAAAGTAATCACTGTTTTAAAAAGCTATGTTAGTAACTATCCTTTTCATCTCCAAATTTATGGTCTATGAAATAAGAACTGAAACCAGGAATAAGAAAGGCAGTGAAGTTTTATGAATGCTTTTTAATACCACTTCCTAATTCCACTTAATACTACTTGTCAATTAACTGTGCTTTAGTATTTAGTATATTAAATAGCTATATGAATACAAATTGACAGAATCCTTAAGGATTCTATAAATATTTTTAAATGATATTTTTCACCAATAGCACCACACACTTCATTTTGCCCCCAAAGAGAATATTCTATCGGGGCACCTGGGTGGCTCAGTCGGTTAAGTGGCCGACTCTTGATTTCGGCTCAGGACATAATCTCAGGGTCCTGGGATCAAGCCCCACATCATGCTCAGAGGGAGTCTGCTTGAAGATTCACTATTCTCTCTCTCCTTCTCCCTCTGCCCCTCCCCACTGCTTGTGCGCTAAAATAAATAAATCTTAAAAAAACAAAAAAGACTATTCTATTATTAGTAGGTGAACTTATCTGAATACAGTACTTACCAAATTCAATTTAAGAATTGCTTTTATAGACTGAATTATGGAGAGAATGAATTACACTCTAAGGCTAGATGTATTATATTCAGTCATATGGTTTAATATTGACACACAGTAGAAAACAGAAGATGACTTTTTGTCCGCCAATAATCAAAGAAAAAGGCAGTAATGTCAAATTTCTCAGATGCTCTTATTTCTAAATGGATGCATGTGAACTTCAAGCCAAAAGAAAAACAGAATATTTTTTTAAAGGGAATGTTTTTAATATAACTCTACCCCCTTTTTTTTATTTTTGAGAAATCACTTACTTGGGCTTGGAAAGCACCTTTTCCAAGTTAAATTCTTTGAGGTATCTTATTATGGCAGCCAAAGAGCAAATCACAGCCTTCTCCAAGTTAATGATGCCAGAAAAACTTTGAGAAGCTAAAAAACAGAATGTATAGTTTCATTAAAGTTATTGCTCACCATTATTAAAAACAAACTTTAACTGAAATTTAGTTTATGATTATTGAAATAATAATTTAGACAATACCTCCTAAATTTGCCTTTGGGAAAAATGTAGAAGATTAGAAGTACCTAGGTCATGGAAAAATGGGGATTTTCTGATGGTGAAATAAACCTTTTTTAGAGAGCAACTTTTTCAGAATATAAAATGCCCATCCCCTTTGATTCCGAAATACTCTAAAATGCGTGTCAAAGATGTGTGTACAAGGAAGTGAGCTGAAAGATCTTTTGTAATAGTAAAATCTACAGACAACCTAACTGAACATCAGGAGCGTAATAGTTCAATAAATTTGGTAAGTCCAGATTATTATGCATCTACTAACAACGCCTTACAGCTACTTGTACAACTATCCATAATATACTGCTGAGTGAGGGCGAAAAAGAAGTTGTACAATCATTCTTATCTCTCAGCAGGAATACTGCTTACCATCTGGTCTCCCAGCTTCATCCCTGTACCCTACAGGGTATTCTCAACAGAGCAGCCAAAAGAATCCTTTTAAAAATGTACACCAGACCATTAGACTACTTTGCTTATAAAAAGCCTCTGACATCCCCAACTCACTGAGAGAAGCAGCTCAAGTCCTGACAGGGGTCTGTAAGGCCCCACAACTTGCCTTCCACCTTCCCGAACTCACCTCCTCAGATTCTCTCCCTTACTTTGTTCTAGCACCCAGGCTCCTTTTATTCCTTAAGCCTACCAGGCACTTAGATATGTTGTACTTATTGGTGTCTCTGCCTAAAACACTGTTCCTTCACCTGTGTGTACGACTCTACCCCTACACTCCTTCAGTCTTCATTCAAATCTTTGCTCAAGTGCCATGTTCTCAGTGAGGCCTTACTTCACCACCCTATTCAAAAGTTCTCCCTCTTCCCTGCCTTATTTTCTTCAAAATACTTGCCACTTTCAAACACACTAACTTATTTTATTGTATATATCTTCCCCTTAGAATGTGAACTTCAGAAGAGCAGGAATTTTTGTCTTTTTTATCCCTTATTGTATGTGTGATGCCTCACATAATAGGCAGTCAATAAAAATTTTGAAAGAATAAATCCAAAGTAAATGAAATATACAGAATTATATACGTATACTTATATATATGGATTTGTACCTATAAAAATTCTTAAAGATTTGGGGGGAGGGACTTTTTCTCTTTATGCACAACTATGGCCCTTTTTTTGCAACATTTATTACTTTCAGAAATAAAAAAATTACAAAATATTCTCTCCATATCAGTAATACCAAGTACATTACTTTCTATTGTGGCTTTTTATAAAACCAAGGTGTGAAGAAAGAGCTAACAAAACTCTTCCCCCTTCTGAGAATTTCACCTTTAACTTTCTAGCTCTGTTCCCCAGGAAACCTGATAAAAATGAAGTGCCAATGTGTTATGAGGTAACATTGTATATGGTAAGAATGACCTGAAACCAGTAAATTGCATCCGGACTAAGAAGAATTATAAACCCAATTGTAGAAATGTCGGCCTTCTCTGAGTACAGGGACTCTGAAGTTGGCATGGCATGAAGCTTCTAGGCCTGGGTAGACCCTGACGAGTATCTCCTGTCTTTGCAGCTGAAGTGTCACCTGGCATGGGGTAGGGATGGCGGGGAAGGGGTTTGCACAACAACTTAAGCTCTCAATGGCTCTATGGGGGTACAAACCCTGTGGAGGACTACTCCCACTAACAGAAACAAGTGCTCCCTACTGGCAAGCTGGTTTCCTATCCCATACACTTCTAAGTGAATGTGATGTCAAAAGTGGCTTATGGTAGTCTTGTCTTTACTTGAGCGTAAGACAACAATTCCTTGGTGATACCGCAGACTGTGTCAGAATGGGTTACCCTCTCAGACACTCAATTCAGTTTCACACCATGAGATTAAAAGAGTTGGGGAGAGAAATGCTAACAAGACATTGGTGCCTGTGGGGGAGCCAAGGGGAGACTGATTTATCTACAGTCTAATGGTGAAAGCCTTGCAGCATGTGGTAAGATATAAAAATGAACCTTAACAGAATAAGCTGGACTAGAAGAAAGTAGGGGTACAGACCAAGTCAAGCACTGATACCTGGCTGACGACATGTAGATTAGACAAATAATGGTTACTTAACATATTAATACCCTGTCATTAATGTTCTGGTATTTAAACTGTGGCAATCAATCTAACGAAATACTAGCCTTTATCAGGAGATTTATCTAAATACTCTATAAAATTGCAAGGAAAATAATGGGCCATTTTTTTAAGAGAAGCAAAAAGAAGGTTGGCCAGTATCTCCTTACAGTCCAATGAATATGTCAAAAACATCAAGTTACTAAATGGTCCTAAGTACAAAGGAAGCTCTAGGGGTGTTTTTGATGAGTGCAAGAAAAGTGAACTCTTGCCTCTATTTCTGCCAGTTATTTATTGATAAATGCCTAGTTTTTTCATTAAATTGCAAGTCAAACTTGCACCCTTATCCAAATCTCAACTCAGTTAAATTTGAGGACATTGAGGCTAACACATACGAAATATTTACCTTGGATGTCAAGTGCATCTTTTGCATAAAACTCCATAACTGCCTGGAAAGCATGGCTGTATTCAAAATACATGTCATCCATCCTTTCTACTCGAATTCTGTCATCCCGCACACTGAAAGAAAAAAAATGAAAATTTCAAAGATAATTATTCACAATCTTGAACTATCTATATTTAGGCCTTGGCCTGACCAAAAAAAGAAATTCATTCTTTATTCTCCCCCAAGTTGAAAAAAAAAAGAGAAAGATCTAAAGTTTCCCTGTCAAAAGGCCCCATTTCATAAAATATAATTACAATTTTTACCACTGGTACTTTATACCAAGTAGTACACTGTGATTATCAAGAATTCACTGAAACTAGGGTCAATTACTTTGATAAATACAAAAGGGAGAAAACTGGAAAAGCATCATTTTAATTTAATTCCATCATTTGTTTAATTACTCTACCAATAAAATACATCTTTCTCTGAAATGGCATCTTTTTGCTAAGTCTACTTCTACCACAGTCCCCACTCAAACCTAGTAAATTCCCCCAGGTCAACTCTCACTCTCTCTTTAAAGCAGTTCTATAGTCTCTTTAAAATTGCATGCGTGAGTGAGTGTGTGTGTGTGTGTGTGTGTGTGTGTGTGTGTGTGTGTGTGAGATTATGTAAGTACATAAACAAAACCATATCATCCATGCTGGGTAGTATGTCTTATCTCTTATTTTCTGTTTCGCTTGGCTCCCCATTCCCCCAGCCCCCTCTCCTTCACTATCACCTCACTCCCAACCCATGTTAACAGCCCAAAATGAATCCTTATTTTTTTTCATGTTCATATGTTCATACACAAGCACATATCATATATATACATAGTCATACATGTCCTTGTTTTATAGAAATGGGATGACTTCATACAAACTCTTCTGCATCTTATTTTCTTCATAAGCAGTAACTCTTGGAAATTCCTCCACATAAAGTGATCTATCTACAACTAATTGTTTTTAATGGCTGAAAAATATTTCATAGTATGTAAAAGCCATAATTTATTCAACCATTCCTTTATTATTGGATATTCACTTGATGTTAACATCTGTCATGTGTTGCTATAGAACATTTTTATCTAAAAAAATAGTAAAACATTACATTAAATAGGTAATAAACTGCACACATCCCTCCTGAGTCACATTCATCTTTCTACCAACACTATCTCTAATTTCATTTTTATTATTACTACATATGTTTATATACTCTGCAATACACTTTAACGCCTTTATACAACACGTTGCTTTATTTCATGCTTTATTTTTTTTTTTAAGATTTTATTTATTTATTTGACAGACAGAGACACAGCAAGAGAGGGAACACAAGCAGGGGGAGTGGGAGAGGGAGAAGCAGACTCCCCATTGAGCAGGAAGCCCGATGCGGGGCTCGATCCCAGGACCCTGGGATCATGACCTGAGCTGAAGGCAGACACTTAACAACTGAGCCACCCAGGCGCCCCTATTTCATGCTTTAAATTTTATGTAAGTGGTACTTTATTACACCTATCCTCCTATAACTTGCTTTTACACTCAGTATTATAAGATTTATACATGAGGACAGATAAACTTCTCTTAATTTTCAAGTACTGCTAAGTATTCCATTACTTCTTATATTTTCTGGTGAATTTTTTTAAGATTTGCTTTTCAAATTAAATTCACCTGAATTTATTTTGGGGGACGGTATGAAGTTAGAAATACAGTTTGATTTTCCACATGATTATCAATTAAAGATCAAAGCACCAATTAGAGAACATTCCATCTTTTCCTACCACTTCATTATGCTGCCTCCAATGCATATCATATTTCTATATATGTGTGACCCTTTACTGGCTTCTCTATCCTGTTCCACTGATCTTTTTGTGTATCTCTGTAACAGGACTACAGTATCTTTTTTTTTTTTTTAAAGATTTTATTTATTTATTTGAGAGAGAGAGAATGCGAGCCAGAGAGCACGAGAGGGAAGAGCGTCAGAGGGAGAAGCAGACTCCCTGCTGAGCAGGGAACCTGATGTGGGACTCGATCCGGGGACTCCAGGATCATGACCTGAGCCAAAGGCAGTTGCTTAACCAAATGAGCCATCCAGGCGCCCAGGACTACAGTATCTTAACGTCCATGGTTTGGTATCAGTATCTGTAGCCGGGACCCCAGACCTTGCTTTTCAAGACAGTCTTAACTATTCATGGGGCTTTGACTTTCTTTATAAATTTTAGATTCATCTTGTCAAGTTAATAAAAACCTAATATTATTAGGATTTTGACTGGATATACAATGAACTAATTTAGGGAAAAATACCTTAATAAATCAAGATATCCTATTGCTTCTGTCTTTTATATGTAACAATAACATTCTTTAATTTTCTCCATGTTTTATATTCTTTGGTTGTGCTCACTCTTAGCTATATTATAGATTAATACTACTGTGAAGGGAAACATATTTACTAGAGGGTTATCATGGTGTACAGAACCTGTGGATTTTTACAGGTAGCAACTATACTGAACACCCTAATTTCTTGTGGTGTATTGTCTATGTATGCATTAATATCACCTGGGGAAAAAAAGATATTTTTATCTCTCCCTTACAATTTCTATTCTTCTCTTTTTCCTATCTCATTACACTACTGGCTAAGACCTTCGGGATGTGTTGAACAAAGGTAATGTTAATAGGCATCCTTTGTCTTCTTACTGACAATAATAGGGAGGCTTCTAGAGTTTCACTCTTGAGTATGAGTCTTGCTATAGGTTTTGGAATAAATGACTTATTGGTCTAAGGTTTGGTAAGTTTCCCAGTTTGGGGGGCAAAAAATCTCTAGTCATAAAGGATTACTAAATCTTAACCTAGTGTTCTTTCTACATGTGTGAAAATAATCACATGGCTTATATCTCACTTAATTTCTTAATATGTTATTCATATTTTCTGATGCTGAATAATCCTTGCATTCCTGGGATAGTCATACTTGTTATGATGTTCTGTGTTGCTTAAATAAAGTTATAAACTTGACTTCGTAGTGTTTTGTTTTGTTTTGTTTCCCCAGAAAATCTGCGCCAGCATACCTAGCTCCAAAGGCTTTTTCTGTTCTACGACAAGACTAGGCAAGCATAAGCTGATTCAGGAAGAAATCTAAGAGGGAGGATTTTCTCCCATCAGTAGTGCTGAAGAAGGATTTTTTCACCTTAATCCACCAGAGAGAGAGTATCAGACTATTACAAATCTCTTATCAATTTTTATCTTCCTGAAGACTCCTTAATACCTGGATTTTTAGAAGCCTGTAGCAAAGTTATTATTTAGCAACTCAAAAAGCAGTGAATGACCTTACATGAGCTCCACAGTGATTTTGTACAAATTCCTAGAATGAACCCAAGAGGCAGCTGGTTACTCAATTACTGTTCTAATTAACGTTTTGTTTGATAAGCAGATAAGGATTTAGAAACCCATTAAATTTGATAAATATGGACTTGTCAGTTATCCTTGAGGCTTCCGTGGAAGCATTACAAGAGTGTTAAACTCATCGTTCTGCAATCTGTATATTGAACATCTTCATGCAAACATTTTTTCCACAAACTGGTTGGAGTTAAAAAATCTGTGTTTTGCCAGATTTCTTAATTGAAGAAAGTCATGGTAAATTAAAGCACTATCTTTGAAACAAATGTCTACTTGAAACACTGTGTATATAATGAGTAATATCCAACCAGAATTTTGTCAAACTAGATTTTAGCAAAATTTCTACATTAGGCACAGAACTGTCAACCTTGATTTCCTCGAACTACAGTCCTGGAATACCTGCATCAGAATCACTGGCAACACACAGGAAAAGCATAGATCCCACACCCTAAATGTGTTAAATCTGAATTCACAGGAAGTTAGGGAGAAGGGGTCTTTTCATCTTCAACAGCGTTTTCAGAATGATTCACGGGTAAACTGCAGACTGAAAACAGCAGTCTACAGGAAAGATATGGCAGTCACTGCAGGACTAGAGTACAAAGAGGAGATGGAAATCTTCTCCAACAAGTCTACGTTTCAGCTACTCTGTTAGAGGTGGACAGTAAGTGCCTTTCCACCACAAAAATTCAGGAAGTCAACTATGGTCATGTAACTGACCTGAGTCTAAAAAATTATGAAAACACCCTCCCTTTTCCACCCTCTACAGAGGTTGTTTGTGGCCTGAGCCGAAGCCTCCTGAATGGAAAGGAGGCTGAACAGAGGCTATGCTCCTCCCTGGGCCCAGGGTGGTGACTCCCCTTCTGTGCTGGATGGGAGGACTATGGTCAAAATAGGAGTCTCAGTCATTACAAGGTGTCTGTGAAGCTGGACTGTTTTAAATTAAGACTTCTGATTTAAAAAAATCCTTTTCATATGTAACATGCCTTTCTGTTGCCAAATATATTGTTTTGGAAAAACTAAATGGTGATAAAACTCTCAGCAAGTATGGAACCCATACTAAAATAAAGGAATTTCAGACCCAATAATACCTTTTAATGTCAACTTGAACATAAAACTGCTGACTCTCGGGTGTTGAGTAACAGACCACCTACAAAGATCTTGATCTAACGTTCAATTGTGACCAAATGTCAGCTTGCCAATTTTATGATCTATGCTAACTTTAGAAACTATCATTTTTATAGACAAAAAGAGCCTTGTAAAAGGCTGACAATCTGCTATAGGAAAACTCACAAAGCCTCTTTTGACAGTGTTCTTACTGATAATAAAAATACTGATTGAGTTCCAAGCTTCCTGGCTGAGTGATTAATTCTCTCCTCTGAGGATAGAATCCAATAGAGATCCAGAATGAATAAAACAGGCCATGTAATAGAGTTACAATGTCTCTATATTAGAATTAGTATGAGATTCATTAATTTTATCAACACCTATAATAAGGAACTTTAGGAAGACAATGAGCGTTATGTGAAATTAAAATTATGAAGACAACCATTATCTGACAAATATCAGAATAACTAGCCACAAAAACAGCAAGGAAAAAGGCCGCGGTAAAGATTCTTCGTAAGATACAAAAACAAAATAAAATGATATGGACAGACTAATATCAAAAATATCTGCCCAAACAACAAATGTAAATGGGGTAAACTTACTTATTAAAA